ATACTAAAATTTATGATCAAATCTTTTAAAAATAAGAAAAATAATATTTTAAAACTAAGAAAAATAATTTTCTTTTTTTTGTTTTTTGCTCTATTAGTGCTACTAAATCTTGCTTGAAGAGGAGTCATCCGAGCAGGTGAGATCTCTGCTAATATATATATATTTTTTTCACTTTTCCTTTCTAGTGGATCACCTACCATAAATTCAAGTGAGGTTCATTATATATAAATAATTTGTCAAGAAAAAAAATGGAGAAGATAAAATCTTGAATACCGATCCAAGCGGGGTGATTATGGCACATAGTTTTCATCACGAATGGAACTAAAGAAGGGGCCATCGCCCCCCTCACATTTGCAAAAAAAAAAAATTTATATTACGACATAGANAGTTTTAGGCGGACATCTTCATGTGGACCGTTAATTATTGATCTCATATCTGCTAATTAAAAAAGCTCAAAATTCAATATAAATGCCTATCAAATTTGACTATGAACTAAAAAGAAACTTTTAATACCATATTTAATTATTATAATTCTAATAAAAAATTTATTAACAAGGAAAGTATACTAAAATTTATGATCAAATCTTTTAAAAATAAGAAAAATAATATTTTAAAACTAAGAAAAATAATTTTCTTTTTTTTGTTTTTTGCTCTATTAGTGCTACTAAATCTTGCTTGAAGAGGAGTCATCCGAGCAGGTGAGATCTCTGCTAATATATATATATTTTTTTTTTCACTTTTCCTTTCTAGTGGATCACCTACCATAAATTCAAGTGAGGTTCATTATATATAAATAATTTGTCAAGAAAAAAAATGGAGAAGATAAGATCTTGAATACCGATCCAAGCGGGGTGATTATGGCACATAGTTTTCATCACGAATGGAACTAAAGAAGGGCCATCGCCCCCCTCACATTTGCAAAAAAAAAAAAATTTATATTACCACATAAATTTTTAAAAAGAAATTTTTAAGATATTAAGAACCGATCTTTAAATATTATGACCTAAATGAGTTTTTACGATGTTATTTGTATGAAANTTTCCTTTTTTTTTTTCCATCACTTTTTCACTTTTTAGGATGAAATTCAATGTGATGGCTTGATGACTAATTGAGGGTATAGTAATTTTCTTTTTTATTTTTTCTAACTATTTATGTTCTTTATAAGATCTTAAGTGTAAGTACACAAGGAAATTATACACAATGTCCTTATCTTTTTTACAAGAAAATATTTAAGCTATTAATTTTTCTGATATGTTAAACTGTGAGTGAAATATCTCATGGAAAATGAATTGGTAAAAAATGCATAGTAGGAGCAATTAAAAAAAGATTGGAAAGAGGCAAGTGTTAGTAATAGTATCCTATTTTGAAGAGCTAATTCCTAACCTCAAATCCACAACGTACTGTTTGGACATATGAATATTTGTGATCGCTTCTAATCTGGCCTCTCAATCAAATTCAAAATAACTTCTGAAATGTTTTTGTATCATATTTATTAACTTATGTACCATTTGTTGTTCTAAGAAAAATGCAGAAGTAAAAAATGCAAATGCATTAAAAGAGGACTTTACTAAGTATTAGTACATGCCAATCAATAAGGTAGCACACTGAATCCTTCCTAAAATAGTGAAATTCTTCCTCTCCCTCCTTTTTCTTTCTTCATTTAGCAAAGGGAAAAGAGAATTAGACTAAATGGATGAAATATTAAGAGAANAATGTCAAACCATTGAGCATGTGGATCACATTGTAAAATAATAATGAAACTTGTTTTGGTATTTCTCTTTATTTCAAATATTATGAGTTTCATATGACAATTTCATCTTGTAGTTATTGAAATTTCCTTTTTTTTTTTTTCCATCACTTTTTCACTTTTTAGGATGAAATTCAATGTGATGGCTTGATGACTAATTGAGGGTATAGTAATTTTCTTTTTTATTTTTTCTAACTATTTATGTTCTTTATAAGATCTTAAGTGTAAGTACACAAGGAAATTATACACAATGTCCTTATCTTTTTTACAAGAAAATCTTTAAGCTATTAATTTTTCTGATATGTTAAACTGTGAGTGAAATATCTCATGGAAAATGAATTGGTAAAAAATGCATAGTAGGAGCAATTAAAAAAAGATTGGAAAGAGGCAAGTGTTAGTAATAGTATCCTATTTTGAAGAGCTAATTCCTAATCTCAAATCCACAACGTACTGTTTGGACATATGAATATTTGTGATCGCTTCTAATCTGGCCTCTCAATCAAATTCAAAATAACTTCTGAAATGTTTTTGTATCATATTAACTTATGTACCATTTGTTGTTCTAAGAAAAATGCAGAAGTAAAAACTGCAAATGCATTAAAAGAGGACTTTACTAAGTATTAGTACATGCCACTCAATAAGGTAGCACACTGAATCCTTCCTAAAATAGTGAAATTCTTCCTCTCCCTCCTTTTTCTTTCTTCATTTAGCAAAGGGGAAAGAGAATTAGACTAAATGGATGAAATATTAAGAGAAAATCGTGTACAAATGTCAAATTTGTTACCCTTTCACACGGTTACAATTAGAAAGTTAAGTTTGGGCAAGATCTGAATTTTCTACAAAGAGACACCATAAATCAAAGCAATGGTGTCATGAGAGAGAGAGAGATGATTAGGTTTTGACTTGATAATTGAGTAGGTATTACTGAAACCAAATGATATTAAGGACCACTTAACCACAAAGAGGGACAAAAAAGGCAAAACAAAGTATGCAAATTAATTACAACCAATTACCATCATGTCATAAATCCATTACCATCTCCAACAGGACATATTGCTATCAATAACCTAATCCATGTGTTACTTAAAATACAAATGAATGATATTTTGTAACATAAATGGAGAAACTTATAAGGTACGTAGATTTGTGTGTGTGTGCACGCACACATGCTTGGAGAGGGAAGGGGGGGGGGGTGGTATTGTTGCATTATATAAGGCAAGGCCCTCTATATAGGCTTGTCATCGTATAGATTTTGATGGATCCAAATTCGACTTAAGAATTTTGGTATGGATTAGATTTGAATATTAGACAGATTTTAATTTCATAGTCCATATATGTATTCATTTATAATTAGAAATATTTTTTGATCCCAGTAATTCAATTGACTAAATATGAGCGAATTAGATCTCAAATTTACCCGATTTCATTAAATACTCACCCAATTTTATTATCTACATATATAACTTTGATATGTCCACAATCAATCGGATATGATATAAAATCTGAATTCATCAGATGTGAGTTTAAATTATTGATCAAAGATATCAATGCATATTCGACTAATCCCATCAGAAATGACTACTTATAAGAATGCTGCTGCCTTTACCACATCATGCTTCAAGTACTAAGATCTATCCTGCACATTACTTGACTAATGTTTATAACATCATTGATGGCTTGGGGGACTTGGAAGTCTTACTTGATTAGCATATTGTGCTTTCAATTTTCAATGTATGGCAATCCAATAATTATGGCCTTTTTAAGTAGCCTTTCTAACATAAATAGGTTTCTAGCTATAGCTAATTAGGTTGTTTTTCCTTTTCTTCTTACCAGAAAAATACTGTTTATTATAGTCAACTTCACAAAGAAGATACTAGCAGTTATAGCAAGAAGAGGTCAATTAAAAATATGAGATAATTCCATTTACAACTATTGATCTTATTAAACCAACAATTTCTTCATACAAATTGTGGGAATATGTATGACATTGTTTTAAGTGCAAATGGTATGTTTTTTCGTGAAACCCACCTTGTATTCCAATGTTAATCTTATTTTTCATATAATGTCTCATTTCCCATTTTTTTTATAGAAACTTTCTCTTACCCGCTCGAGAAAATTGCTATACCAGTGGGTGCTACTAAATCTCACTAGTCGTCAGTGGTTGTGATTGTGTCATATAAAATTGAGTTTCTTTTTTATTTTTATTGGAGAAAAAGTAAAGGAAAGAAAAGATTGAAAGGAAAAAAATGTTTACTTCTTGTATTTATTAATTATCTTTGGCAAAATTGGAGTTAAAGGAAAGAAGTTGGTGAGGAACCAGGATTGAATTATTTTCTTTTTTAAATAAAAAAATTATTTTCTGGTCAGTCACCTAAGAAGAATACACACACACGCATACAATTTATGTTATAGTGGGAAAATATTTTAAAAGAAGGAGAATTCAAATGGACGTTACTCTGTCTATATTGTATCTCCTTTCATGCTGTCCTATCTAATCTGCCCGCCTCCTTCTCTATCTTCTTCACCATTCAGACAAAGCCTACAACCACTTCTGCAACATAGATAAGGTGAAACCTCTCTCTCTCTCTCTCTCTACCCCACCTCTGAATGAAAAACCCAATGAAATCTACACTGGTTTTTCCATATTTGGGATTTAGTGTGAATACTCAGGGATGATTGTTTAGCTGGTATAGAAAAATTTAAGATTTTGTTAATTTTTGCAGCTAAATGGTTGCAGCATACTTTTTTTATGTTTCTTCCTCCAACTTTGTTGTTTCATATATCCCAGTTTGTTTGTCTTTATTTTGATTTTCTATAAGACCCACTTCTCAGATGTTAATATTTCTACCTCTATTGTGGATTACTCTTTGAGCTGTGTAACTAAAATTGTATATCCACACTTTGGATTTCAATTTATTTTTCAAGTCATCTTATTGTAGACTAAAAATGGTAGTCTAGTACACGAGACCCATGTCTATGTGGGATCAGTCAGATGAGTACGATATTTTCTCATATGCAGAAATATTATTTCGGTGATTTGAACTCATGATACACAAATCACAAGGGAATCAATCCTAATAGAGGAGAAAACAGTTTTATTACAGCATGCATCTGTTTGTGGAGATGTGGAGTTATGATATGTTTCATGATCATGAGCTTGTTTTTGTGTTGTTTGTAGATCAGATGTTTCATTCTCTCAGAATCAGAGCTAATAATTTGAAACAAGAAAAGTAAACGGTGCTTCTGAAGTTCCATGGAGGCTAGGCATAGATCAATGTGAGTATTTTCTTCAAACTTCCNGGCCAACCTATTTTGGACTTTTAAGGCTTCAACTATATTGTGTACTATTCCATGAGACCTTTGTCACTATAGAATCTAGATAGTTAAACTATTTACTGTCTTACTTTAACTTAGGCCTAGTAATTTTGGATATGACGTACGAATTCAATACAAAAAGGACACAGAGTTAGTAGAGCTTCGTTTAACCTTAACGAATTTAGGTGTTAAAAGGATGGAGCTACTAGACTTATCAAGTAAATTGGTTGACACAAACCAGACTAAAAACAACATGAATTTGACTAAACAAGACTTATACACGATATAAACGCGACACGACACAAACTGAGTATACACGATTCTAAATGTGTTAAATATAAGTTAAGCAAATTTGACGGGACACGACTTGTACCAGTTAGAAACACGATAGAACACGACCGCCTAACATACTCCTTCTGAATAGGTCATTTTTATAACTCCAATCTGTGGAACAATTTTTTGACAATTTAACCAATGATTGGAATGGTTTTTCACGAGTTTTCATCTGAAGCATACTTGTCTAACCGAAGTTATTGCGGCTCCTTACTCTTCTTTCTCATAATTTCTTTTTTTATTTTCTCATCTTGCACATTTAATATTCTTGAATGCCCTCTTGAATCAGAGAAGAGGTACACAAAAGAAGGTTGCAGAGAATTAAAGTTAAAGATGTGGAGAAGCCCTTCAACATTTCCATCCAAGATAAGGGCACAAAATGCAAGAGTCATCCATTGAAATTGGTTCTACTTATCATTATAGTTGGCACTTTTGCAACACTTCTTTACCCTCCAACTGTTTGTTATCCTGACCATATATCAGATGCTGTTTATCAGTAAGTTCTGTTTCCTCTTGTATGCCTTACTCATGGTATTTAAAGACTTCTTTCAGTTTTTCTCCCTTTCCAATTAAGTACCTTCCCAAATAGTAAAAGTAAGAAATGATTCACTTGGGATAGCAGTGTTGGACTTCCATTTTCATTAACATGTTATCATTTGTCGTCATGTGATCTTTGAGGGTTTTTATAATATGTTTGGCAAAGACTAATATAGTTCTAAGAGATCCACATATTCTTTACCCTTTAAAAAACGCCACACCCAATGCAAAGCTCGCGTCTATAGTGGGGTTGGCAGCCATACCCCAAACCGAAGAGACTGAGTTCTAGCCTCAAAACCATGACATAGGGCATGGCAAAGGAGCACTTGCCATAACTCTTCTTCCTTTAAAACAGAAGAAACAAAAAATTAGAAACGAAATCTGGCTCATCTTTTGAGTCTTCAAATAGAAATATGGTGCATTTAGAAAGATCAACCAACATTTAACATTTTTCCTTCTGAAATTAATGGTTTTTTAAAACAAAAAAAAAGTTGGGAATTAATATTCGAAGGTCATACTCCTTTGTAGATCATACCGCTGGATATCAACAAAAGACAAAGGCAACTGGCCAAGTGCTAGAGAGCACAACCTATGTAGAAGGAAACTTCAGAAAAGAACAGAACACCCTCACTCGAACATGCATATTGCCAAAGCAATAACGAAAATAGCAAGTCATGGTGAAGTTCAGCAAGTAAAAGTTTGATCATAATTATTCTCAAGCAACAATATTTACATATTGGGTTTGCAATTTGCCTAGTGAATTTAATTCTTGGGATTGAAATTTACAAGTTATTCAGCCTTTAAACTTTATAACTTTATTTAATGCAGGTCACATTTTGTGAACAGGTTGATATGGGGGGACTCAGATCCCCGATACATATCGCCTTTCGACATCAACTGGGAAGAAATTTCAAAAGTCATGGAGAAAATGTCTGGCATGAGTGAAATTCAAGGAGTGGGCCTGTTAAATTTCAATAAGAGTGAAATCAATTACTGGAAAGAATTTATTCCTTTCGCCAACCACACTGTTCTGTACCTGGACCATGTCGAAAGAAACATGACTTGGGATACATTGTACCCTGAATGGATCGATGAAGAACAAGAAGATGAAGTTCCCAGTTGTCCATCTCTGCCAAAGCTTGAAGTTCCAAGAAGACGACTTGATCTTATTGCTGTTAAGCTTCCTTGTAGAAACGAGGGGAATTGGTCGAGAGATGTTGCTCGGTTGCACTTGCAGCTAGCAGCTGGTGGACTAGCAGCCTCTGCCAAAGGCAATTACCCTATTCATTTACTTTTTGTCACCAAATGCTTTCCAATTCCGAACCTTTTCACTTGCAAGGCAATGGTTGCACGTGAAGACAGCATATGGTTATACAAGCCAAACTTGAATTTATTGAGAGAAAAACTCCAGCTCCCGGTTGGTTCATGTGAACTTGCACTTCCTCTTGGAGCCAAAGGTCAGTTTAATTCAATTCTCTCTCTCTCTCTCTCTCTCTC